TTCCCAGCCCAGAAAAAGGCCATCTTTAAATAGTCTCTACCCCTCCCACACGCCCCCCCACACGTCATCCCTGCGGGGGGACAGTCATAAAATCTCGGCTCCATGGGGACGACACATGGGGAGGCGTGTGAGAGGCGGAGAGACTATTAAAAGATTAGGCGGTTTTTTCTTTCATGTACGTCCGCCATATTTAGTCCCCAGGATTTGTAAAGCCTGGCTCAACTCGTTGTGAATGCGATCTAACAGATCTGTGGATCAAATATGGCTGACCCCCTTACATGCGTGTTGCATAATCCCAGCAGGGAATCTACTCACAAAGCGGTGAGCTTTTTAGTCAGTCGCCATATTTGATCCGCATATCTGTTAGTTCACTGTTCTGAATGTGCTCAAAGAGTGCTTCCAAGCCACCTTTTATGCCATCACCACAGTAAATCTTGTTTCCATCTCTTACCTATTCCTCCTCCAGCGTGAGGTGGGCACCCATAGCGGAAAGAGTCAATGTAAGCACGAATTTTCTCCAAGTCTGAAACAGAAAAAACATACCAATCATATTTTATTAGTTCAGATAAATTCATTAGTATTGATAATCCAAGAAAGACAATTTTTAATTAGTTTTGTTTAATTATAAAAAAGAAATCATGGCAGATATCTTGAAGTGACTTGAGTGAAAAACATTTTAGGTAATTCACTTGTTCCATATACTTTTCACTGAAAAAAAGAGTAACAACTAAGTGGCATGTGTCTGTTAGAGAAAAGTGTCCAGAAAACACATTACCAGACATAACAACTCTGGCTGTGAAAACAAGTGAAATGTGAAAACTGAATTTAAATCCACAACAATCTTTGATTTGCCCAAATGTTGAGCATCAACAAACTTTTTTCTGATCACAGTATCAGTATTTTGCAGTACTCAATAGATGAAAACCTATTTAATAGCATCTCAGGAGAAAGAGGACCCCAAAAACGGTGATCTCTTTAAAACTCCTTTCAAATGAACTTATTATTTTCAAATACACACTACCACCAGATGAGATCACAAACTGCATATGTTATATCACATCATGATCACCCACATGTCATGTGGTGAAATTTTTTCATCAAAGGAAACGTCTGTCACAAATTGCCTGTGACATAACAATCTGCCCAGGACTAAATCCCCATGCATTCTATTTCCTCTTTCACCGAGACAATAGTAAACCTGAGTAAACAGCTGCAGCGAAGTCACCCACAATTTGTCTCCACATCATGAAAACAATGGGACCGGGTATTGAATGTCCTCCTGTTTAACAGAAGTTTTCATCTCCCTCTGCCTCCATACTGTGCGTGTGTCTGTCCTGATCAAAGTGCACTAATGAACACTAATGTTAACACTAATGGCAACACAGATCAGAGAGCGGCCTGGCAATCCCCACTAGAACCAGATTATATAGCGTCTCCTTCAACATGAGACAGACTTTCAAATATCTGTTATTGGTAAAAGTTGACACAGATCGAACAGCTCTAAACTGCCCTTTTAGCTCTACACTAGAAACCATTCACTAAGACCCCATTCCCATACCTAGATCGATCTAGCAGGATCGACCCATTTCTGAGGGGATTCTCCCAAATTGCACTCAGCTTAAGCGGCTTAGATGTCTGGCATGCCTACTGAAGCTGCTTAACTAAAGTAAATTACCCCCTAACAGCTTTAATAGGCGTGCAAGACATCAGAGCCGCTTAAATGGTACACAATTTATCGAGAAACCTCTGGGAGATGGGTTGATCCTGCCAGATCGAACTAGGTTTGGGAATGGGGTCTAAGGCTTCCCCCCCTCCCCCGCCAAAGTGTTTGCACTGAGAGAGAGAGATTGTTTATATTACTTATTGGCTACACCAAATGAAAGAGACAAAATATGCAACTGCCAAGTTGAATAGGCAAATCACAATATGCACCACATCATTTTAGAACTAACACAATGACTTTCAGTTCCCCTTACATAGGTGATCCCCTCCCCCTCCCCCCACCCCTACCTTTTCTTCCCACCACGTCTTGTCCCTGCAGGACCAGGAATGAGAGCTCCATGTTTACAGAGGTGTCTCTCCAGATAACCCACCATACTGTGCACATTAAGGAAAATTAGCCCAATCTGTTCCTTCAATTGGATGAATTAAACCAACAACTTGGTGGTCCTAATTCTACCTCCAGAGCCTGCTCCCGGGTATAAGCCAGTCTGTCTTTTTAATTCCTAATGTCAGTTCCAGTGATATTCCCAAAACAGCCCCTCTTCTGCTATCTCTCTCTCTCAGTATAACTACCCAATACCATATACACAAAACTACATTCAGATACAGGGCACTTGCTGGTAAAAGATGAGAGCCAGAAGCATGGGTGGTACCAAGGCTAAGGTACCATCAGTGTGGTACCCTTGGGTATACCCTTTGAATGACCTGTTGCCAATGTACAGTTCAATCACTTAGGGCTGTGGTATATTAAAAGTGATGGGTCTAGATTCAGATAGCTCTTGCTTAATAGAAACACCATGTCTATTTCAAGACAACCTACTTAACTTTAATAGATCTACATTACTGGTCTTACAATCTACCTGATCTCAATCTGATGCAACACTGCTAGAATTTCTTCAACTGTCAGCCGAGATTATTGTCATGGACATGTTCAGACTTTTGTAACTGCCTGTAGTTTATTATGCCTTGTCAGTGAAAAGATGCTAAAATGTACAATTGACTTGGGATAAATTCAGCTGCAATTTGATGCCAGAGCTCCTGACAAAACACAAAGAAAGTTGAAAAAATATCAAAATGTATGCCACTTAAAACTAACACCCAAAATGATAGGCATCATTTTCTTCTTATGAAGTTTCAAGACCAAGAAGCATTTAAGTCAAATGATTCTTTGTATAACCGAAACAAGGTCTGTGCAAGATAATACACTGTCTGTGCTACAGTCACTTGTTTAGTGGGACTGTGGTTACACATCTATCATCAAACCCTGCAAATACTGCCTCTAACCTCCACTTCATCACAAAATGCTCAACTAAAAATAAATATTGATTTTTCTCCACTCAAAACAACAACCAAGAGGCTTAGACACAGAGATTAGAAATAATTGGACACTAAATGGTCTAAAACAATATCTATTATAATTTGCCACAATAAGGCCTATCTTATCATGACAAACCAGCAAAAAGATACTGGCATGCATTTCAGCTTCAAGAAACGCTTCAATACATTCCACATGTCCATGTTTTCTATAAAAATCTTCTTGCTGGGCGCTGCACTTTTTGCTTTATTTCAGCAAACCCAGATAGCTTGAGGGCTGTTTGCCCAGTAATTTCTGCTGTGTTCTAACCCAATGTGAGGTGAGACAGAAAACACTTTGCACGCAAACATGCATGCTCATTCTTGGTAACAACAACATCTCTGACTGAGAGGCCTTCCCCACTTGTTTGAGTATTCACTTCTGCATCTGAATTGGATACATTCTCTTCTGTTTTGCTTCCTTGAATGTTGCTACTTTTCATATGCTTCTAATGATTTCCAGGTTTAGTAATAAATGTACTTTGAAAGCTAAATGCACAGGTTGGAACAATATACTTGAAATACCAAGAACAAAAATTTCGTAAGTTTATTTCATCACCTCTCAGGTTTAAAAATTGATTTCTTTTCTCACTCAAAATGTGATGCCTTCTCATGTCCCCTGATCTGAATTCTATCCCGAATTGATTCAATAATGTTTAAACCTACAAGCTGCAATGCACACACACACAATGAAATGGATGCGGTAGTTGAGATTCCATCACAATCTTTACAACATTTTAACAGGAGTGCAGTGGACATTCTTCAAACAGAACACAACTTACAACAGGCAAAGAAGTGAGAATGGACAAAACAAAACTCACTGATAACCCCCCCCCCCCCCCAAAAAAAAAAGTGCACCTAATACACTTACCTATCCCATGAACCTTTGCTCTCTCTGACAGGAAGTCGGGGTCGTGTATTCGCTGGGCACCAGAGAGAATTTCTTCTCCTCGCATGAACATGTCGTAGGAGTTGGAATATTTCTAAAATATCCAACAGAGTAAATCAACATAAAGATAAATATTCTTACTTTGAATTTCAAATGATATTCCCTTTTTAATTTATCAAATAAATAAACCCTGCTAGCTGAAAATAACTGATCTTTATTACATGAATTAGTAGTGTGCATTTAAATCAAATTTTTTTTTAAATATTTATTCAAACTGGCCTAAAATTTATTGTCACAAATAAAAACAATTTTTCATAAAAATCTTATGATCCTTATGATTTTTTTTCAAAAGAGGACCTCCATCCTGAACCATTACAACCTCAATTGCCATTTGCCTGCCCCTAATAATGAGTAACTTACCGTGCTATTTGGGTCAGGCATAGTGTAGAAGGGTCTAACAGCCAGGGGATACTTGTCCAACATAAAGAAGTCAGTGTCATACTGGAAAATATTATTGATAACAATGTAAATTCACAATTACAGACAACATGAAATACTTGAGTGAAAAACAGTGCAGAATCAGATATTCTGAAAAAGGCTGCTATGTGACGAAAAGAAAATATATTGAGTTCAACACAGTAAATACTTTCATTATCCAAAATCTATGTACTGCACTGCACTGTACACTAAAGAAATGGTTATCACGTTGAAAACAAATAATGTTTCAATTGGCATATGACACATTATAACCTGCGCACTGTCATTAACTAAAAAATTTTCCCCGAGGTACCCATCTTCCACAATAATCAATAGGTCCATTGCAGCACAAGTATAGTCACCATTTCATTTGACAATTGGAATTAAATTTCATGCAAAAATGTTTTTGTTTTAAGTCTGAGAACTATTTCTAATCATTAAAAAAAAACTTATGTCAGGATAAATCTTTACCTTTTGTTTTACCAGTCTACCCAGCAGTTTCTCAGCAGGAGTGGTAAGATCGTCTTCATCCCCCATCTCAACTCCATTAGCTCTCAGAAGTTTCACAGCTTCGGGATACTCCAGCCTGAGCCTAAAACCATATTGTTCATTCTCAATTTTCTCTCTTTTTAGCAGATTTAATATTATGTTGCTTCCTCTTCTTTTTTTTTTTTTTAACTGTGTCATTTTAACATTGAACTAAACCTAATTTGAGCAATTTGCTCTTTTAATTGAAGATTAAGTACAAATTTCAGCAACTTAGACCCCATTCCCAGATTTTAGATCAATCTATCCCTGTGGGGAGTCTCACTAGATTACTGTCAGCTTAGCCGGCTTAAGCGTCTGTCCTGCCTACTAGAAGCTGTAAGGGGGTAATTAACTATGGTGCGTGCTAGGCTGACTGCAATTTAGCGTGAACCCCCAGGGAGTTAGGTCGATCTAAATCTAAATCTCTGGATCGATCTAAATCTCTGGGAATGCACCCTTAAAGAAAACCTGTTCAAACTAAGCCAAACTGCAAACCACACATGGTTTTCAACTAGCTGAGACATACCAGACTAAAAACTGTAACCAAAGTTGGAAATCTGTCCACTTCATGAAATCAAAAGTACAGTAATGACTTGATCTTTTAATGGAGAAAAGCTGCCAATCTCTCACTCACAGATAGTATTGTTTTCTACTTACGATGGCTCTAAGAACTTGAATGGTTCACTCTTGTATTGCTTGTTTATAGTCTCAATTTCTGTTTGAAAGCTGAAATATACATAAATATTTATGTATGAGAGAATACATAAAACACAAACATTTCTTTAATGACTGAACATATACACTAAGCCAGTGTGTGTGAGAGAGAGAGAGAGGGAGAACAAACCACTACATTTAGCACATCAACACTATTCAAACTATTCATTTGAACTAGTTCACAACAGAGTTCCACTATGACATAACTAAATAGTGCTACATAATAAACATACTTGTCCCTGAGTCCCTTGAAAATATTGACAAACAAGTCCCCAATGACGTCCATCACTTCATGGTAGTGATACTTGAACGCCATCTCCACGTCCAGGCCTACAAACTCTGTCAGATGTCTGTGTGTGTTGGAATCCTCAGCACGGAACACTGGGAATAAACCACAATATAATCAGAGATCGAGTTCAAATAGGCATAGGTCTAGGTCTTTGTCATCAACTTGTGCCTTGAAATTTCCTGCTAAAATCTGTCCATGGTTGATTTCTCTGCAAAATCCTTTAATCAGCAATTAGACAAAATGCTCTTGAAAACTGGCAAATGAAAGTCATTGAAAATTTCTCCAGCTAAAATGTACATGTATCTGCCCCTACTGTGTATAACTCATCTTAACCCTCCTTACCTGTCCCCACTGTGAATACCTTGTCTTAACCATCCTTACCTGCCCCCACAGTGAATACCTTGTCTTAACCATCCTTACCTGCCCCCACAGTGAACACTTTGTCCAGGTCCCCTGCTATGGCCATCTGCTTGTACAGTTGTGGCGACTGTGCCAGATAAGCACTGCCCTTGAAGTAGCTTACTGTGAATACATTGGCCCCTCCCTCACTGGCAGCTGAAACATTGGGATTTTTAAAATAAGGTATTCGACAGATTTCAATTTTAACTTCTTAACAAGCCCAGGGATGCAGACAAAAGTGCAGACTGGTATTTGCATAAAGAAACAACCTAAGTGTTTCATTCTGAACAGAGGAAATCCTGTGAAAAGAAAAGCAGACTGTAACATAAAGATTGCAATATCAGGTCCATCTTTATCTTTTTGCTGGAAGTTGGGTGGTAATATAGAGATCACTCTATCAAGTTGGTAAAAAATTTCAATAATGAAGCCCACATAATAGCTTAAGATTACTAATTAATAAGCATTATCCATGATATTTAGCTAAAAAATTGAGTTGGCAGCATTTTCCTCACTGTGCAAGGCTAAAGAAACAATCTAACATCTACCTTTCAGTTCATATTAATCAGTTACCTGAGATAATTTTGGGTGTGTGTATCTCAGTGAACCCCTTGGCGGTCAGTGTGTCCCTGAAGAGCCGGCATACCCCTCCCTGCAGTCTAAAGATAGCCTGACTGGTGGCAGTACGCAGGTCCAGGATGCGATTGTCCAGTCTGGTGTCCGGGTTCACTTTGGCCAGGTCCTGCATGGACAGTAAAGGAAGCGTTGAATTTATGGCTCTCTTTTATTTTTAACATCTTATTTTTTTTTGTTAGAAGAAAATTGTGCTTTAAGCAGCAAAAACTAATTTGGCCTTTTTATGGACTGTTTTAATTTTTTCAGCAAGATTTTCAAATCACAAATGAGCACCTAACCTCATATAAAAATCATGACTTAAAATGAATTAATCATAAGGCCAGCTGAATTCAAAATCAATGTAACAAATACATTTTAAACATCTTTTATCTCCATGGGGCAGAGATAAAAAATAGTCATATTTGCAAATAATTTTGCTGGTCCCTTTCCTTACAATGAAGATACCTTCCTTTATAAATATATATAATGTGAAGGGGAAAAAAAGACCTTGTGTCCTGACACTAGCATATTTACCAGTTGAGAGGTTATGTGAGATGCACAATGATGTTACATGATGAAAATGCTCAGTATCTTTAATTTGTAGACTTACATCTTCACTCTCTGGTCGTGACAGGTCATCAATCTGTACAGGTAACCTAGGTTCTGCTGCACTCACAACCCAAACCTGTGGAAGTAGATAACAACAATGTACAGAATACACATGTACAGATATACAGGTCTCTCTCTCTCTCTCTCTCTCTCTCACACACACACACACACACACACACACACACACACACACACACACACACACAGAGGCATTCTATAAATGCATATGGATTCATACACACTTGGCTTACAAGAAAAGATATACATATGTGCAAACACAAGCAAATGCACAAACACACACACTTGCAATCTTCACAAACCAGTACCATGTACTATTACAGCACATGAAACAATTTAAGATGCATGTTAAATAAATGTAAATTATAATTCTTCATTTTTTAACAATTATCTGTAGAAATAACACAAATATTGTCACCTGTTCCACATGGAGCTCCACATCTTGTTGAGAACAGCTCTCTATTTTCTGGTCCACTTTTCTCACATAGCCTTCAACGTCTATGATAGATTCTTTTGTGATACTGGAATATCCCAAGACCCACTTTTATAATGAACTCCAAGGGTTCTGTGAGTATCTTGATAGAAGGGGTAGAGGGGAATCTTAACATTTCATGAGACGTAACTGCCATATTCTTTCACAGTAACTCACAAGTAAGAGATTATAACAAAAAAAAAAACTTTTTAGAAAAAAAAAAAAAAAAAAAACGGGGACTAGCTTTGAATGTAAAAATGACCTCCAACTTCTTTTATAACATTGAACTCAACAATGAAACTTTAATTTAACAACAAATTGGAAATCCAGATTTAAATCAATGTGTAATCAAAAGTATATCTGATGATGTGATTGTCATTTATGTATAATCAACAGCATATGTCTCTTATACCCCACTGCATTTAATGGAACTATCATTTTTGACAAACAAATTATGTTACATGGTCTTAAACCACAAACTTAGGCCACACAAGATTGTTTAAAGCCAAGAAATCATTTAAGTAGTTTTTTCCACTTACGCTGCCACAAATTTCACCATCTGTTTGCTAACTCTCTCCCCAACAGCAACAATGGCCTGTACATTGAAATGCTGGTGCCGCAACACAAAGAAACATTGCTTTCCTGAAATATCATTTTAAACATCAAAACTGTAAACATTACAAAAATTTACTTGTATATAAAGCAGTCATATAAAATGACTGGAATTATTAAGGCCAAGAGAAGCACATTTTGCAAGCTTGTCTCACAAAATTTCACAATCATATATTAATACTGCTATGCTTTATCTTGCTAAAGCTCATGATGTTATGTCACTGACAAGGATTGTTTATTTCATATTTGTAACCAAAATTTTAAAAAGTTTTTTAGTCTGAAGTGATGATAATTATTTTAACTGTATATAAACCAGATAAGACATAGCATATATCTCCTTGATATTCCTATTCTAAAGCTACTTCATGGAGCTTCCAATGATAAAATTGCACAAACTTTTGCAAATCTACAAAACACAAGGCATGTCTGACAGTTTCAAAAGCCATACCTTTACTTCTACTGGTGTGTAACCTTCCTCTGCACCATATTTTCTCGTCCTTCTTCTTCTCTGCCAGCTCCAGGATGAGGCTCTGCACAGGGACGAGGTCTCTCTCTACCCTCTCCTGGGACTGGTTCATGGGACACTTGCCATAAAAGTCCTTTGCAAAGTCTTCTTTTTCTGCATCTTCATTTCCATCTCCTCCAGCCTGGAGTAGAAGTAATGTTAATGTCTCAAGATTAAAAAAAATTATCGAGTAAAGTCACCTGTCTTAGAAGGCTCTTGCTGATGGCAAAACTATCAGCTTTGAGGTAAGATATGATATCTTAGACTGGGTTCCCACAGATTGAGATCGATCCATCTGGATCGACCTAACTCCCTGGGGGTTCATGCTAAATTGCTGTCAGTCGAGCTCGCATCGAAGTTAATTACCCCCTTACAGCTTTTAGTAGGCAGGACAGACATTTAAGCTGGCTAAGCTGACAGCAACCTAGTGAGACTCCCCACGGGGACAGATCGATCTTAAAATCTGTGGGAATGCAGTCCAAGTAAAAGGTCAATCTGAACAGTGTTCTAAAGGAAACTACGCTTTAAGCTTGACAGAGCACAGCAATAATATACTGGCATAAGTTTTTCTGATGTCAGTTTGATCCAGTATGTCCCATCTTTATTTAACAAAATGCTTCGAAAACTGACAAGATCAATGTAAGTTTTACTTACAGCCTGCTTGTGCTGTTCCTTCTTAGCTGCCTTTTCAGCCTGTTTCTGTTGTTTCTTCAGGGCTTTCTTCGATATAGGTTTCCCATCAGGACTGAAAAGTGGAAATTATAATTTACAGTATGCCTATTGTATTCCATCTTTCCATGGTATTTTGCTCATTCACATTTCTTCCCACTCTTTAATCTATTCTTGTTTACCCCCCCCCCCCCTCCAAAAAAAAAAAAAAAAAAAAAANATCAAAAAAAAAAAGATTAAAGTTGGTAGAAGTTGGGAGAAAATGTGGGGGGAAATCCTTAAAATATGAGCTGAGGAGGGGAAAAATGCTGGCTTGGAAGGCCTTGATTATGGCAGGTAAAGAAGTAATTTTGTTTTCTATTTTTACTTTTCTTTTGTGTACCGTCATCTACTTCAAAAACATTCATATGTTTATCAAGAATAAATTACGTGGTATAAGTTATGATTATTAGTGCCATAAATTGGGACTACATGTGTATAAGCATGTGGCAGAAATGCGCTAGTGATACTGCAAACTTTCACAATGCATTTACCATAAATCGTGTAATTTAACACTTTATTACATTTATAACCCTATCAGTAAAGAAAAAAGACGTTTAAATGTAACATGTTACATCTTCAGTTCTAAGTATAGTTGACACAAAGGACGATACAATTATGATTTTTCTGAAGTCACACGCTGAGGCACGCACACATTTCAATGATCAATACATCCAAGGTCGTGCTACAATGTATTAACTTCATAAAGGAAATGCGTGTCCCCGGTTCACACTGACAATGTAGGCCACACATCATAACAACAGCATAAGATCGGGGTCTTTAAGGGACATATCTGTAACTTAATAAAACTTTTAGAAACGCTCTACATACCCTAATGGTCCTTCGTTTTCTGCATTTGCATCGGCCATTCTTAAAAATATGTTATGGAATACAATAAAGAAGATAACCGGCTTCTAACGAGGAACTGATGAAATACACATGCAAGTACCACATGTGGCATACCCAGACTGCAAAGTCAAAGATGGCCGCCGGTGCTAATGAATGTGTACGAGCTCTCGCGTTTTGATGTTTATTTGCATGTTTTAAGTGCTGTTTTTACTCAACTAACTTCAAGGTCTTCGATATAAAGGGCAGGAGATGTCGAGGAGGAAACAATCGAAGCCTCAACACATCTTAAGTAAGTGTATTTATTGTATCTTTTCCCCTTTTCGACCGCGTATGGGCGGGGATGAAATTAACATGCATGAATCACGCACGCGCATGTGCTGACGTATCAGCAGAGTGCGTGACAGCCGGGTTGAATACATAAGCGTGCCTGGATGCACACATTAAGCCGCAGTGTTGAATTTAGAAAAACAACCCTTGCTGGCGCTGAGGCGGCTGGCAGCGACGCCGGGCGGCGTGCTAATACGTATGCAGACGCACGTTCTTGCAGGCTGTTTACTTTTGTTCACGTACGCGTGACTCGAGACACACGTGCACAGGAAGTGGATTAGTAATGAGGGGCTCTGAAGGGAGGGTTTGAGAGTGGACGCTGAAAATGCCATCGGAGCATTTGATGGAGAAATAAAGTGATGTTGTTGGGTTTGTTGATTGTTGTTGTGTTGCACGTGCATTTGGCAAGTCTTGACATAAAAGGTCAGAGGTCGAAGTTGAGGCGGAAGTAATGAGATGAATGGAGGATTGGCTTGGGATCGTCCCTTTCCTCCCTTTTTTCTTTCTATTTTCCAAGAAAGTTTAAAATGTTATTCGCCTTTTTGGGTGAATACAGGATTAAAAACATGAATGGTTTTCATCTCCACATCATTTCTGAGTAAAAAGTAAAATAATTTAGACTGTTTTAATGGTTTATTTTCGGTTATTTACCGATACCTATTTATGATACTTGTTTAATTTATATTTTGTTTGTGCTTCTTCGGGTATTTTTTTGCCGTGTTTGTAGTTTTTGAACTACAAGAATTTATACACATTGACCAAGTTCAATTAGTAGGGATGATAGTTTTTTTTTTTTATTATCATTATTTATTTATTTATTTATTTATTTATTTATTTTTTTATTTATTTTTTTTTTTTGGCCACTTCATTACATCATGATCCTGAATGATCAAGTACATTGCCTGCTGCCAAACTGCAATTAAATTACATGTTGAATTGCATGTTACATGTAAAACAAGATTGTTTATTTTATAGGTCCTCCTATAGGTCCAGTGTCAACTGTTGTTATATTCCAGCATATCTCTCTTTATTTTTTATTTATTTTTTTTTTTAATTTTGTGCATTTATTTATAATTTATTTATTTTATTTATTTTTATTTATTTTTTACTCTGGTTATACATGGTATTTAAAAACATGTTTTATAACCTTTCATTTGTGAGTATAAGGCATTTTGTTTTAAAGCTGAAATAAACACATTTACACATTACAATTTTAGATGAAGATGGCAAAGAAGGTGGAGGGACAGATCTGCTGACCCAAGGGCCGGTCAGTCTAGGTCAAACTTCCTCAGAAGTCACTGTAACTGACCCCCAGTCCACCAGTATACCAGAAGCTGTGGCAACAGACACCACCCACTCCTCATCAAATTCACACAACGTCCAGTGGCCGGAAGATCAGGACAGTGATTTCCAAGTGTTGAATAAAGTTCTGAATGCCTTGGGGGACAATGATCCCACAAGTGCTGGTGTACAGGAGGTCCCCGCTACCAGTTCAACTTCCCAGAAAAGCATTTTCCCAGGCTCAGATTCTTTGCTTGGAACAGCCGGTGGTGGGGATTGGTTGAACAAGCTGGAACTGGCAGATCCTAACCAATCACAGTCTTTGTCCTTTGGTGCTAGGTGATCATTTCTTCTCTATGCTAATGTGCATTTTAAGTCAAAACAGAACATGTATTTGGCAGCTTTAAATTTAGTAACAATCTGAATCACATTCTGTAATTGCAGTTTAATTTTTGTACAGATTTATAAGTATCTGAAGTAATGGCCATCAGTGGCATCACCAACACTGTCATTCAGTAAAAATGTTCTGCAAAAAAACCTAAAACTCCATAGTTTACAGTCTTAATTTCTTGTAAACATATATGAATTTAGCATGAATACTTCTACTGCAGCAAGTTTCCCTCCAGTCAAACCGGTCTACTAGATCTCACTGATCGCACATGTATGTACTGTGGTGTGGTAAAGAAGAGCCCTGCTGACTTAGAGCGACATGTCCGTAAACACACTGGAGAAAGACCCTTTGCCTGTAATGTGAGTACCCCTGTGGTGCTGTGTCAGGTGTCTATTTGTATACTAGTATTTTGTGTATATATCCATTTGCATATTTTTAGTTTTGAGTGTTGTGAGTTCTTGAATGGGCTTACACTAGTTTAAGCTTTGCTTATATGTAATTTTACAAATACTTGTTTGAATATACTGAAGCGTACAATGCATACCTTTACTGTACATACATAAACCTGCATACTTGTGTTTGTATAAGTTTGTGTATTTGTTTGTTTGCATGTGTGCGCACAGTGTAAAAAATTAAGGCTGGACCGTCTGCCCGGGGCTGACAACTTTCAGAACGGGCTGAGAAGTTTTTCCACCCAGCAGATATTCAGTCCAGCTACTTTTCAAGATGGCTGGACTTTCGGTCCAGCAACTAATTTTCCTAAGAGGCAAACACTGTGCGCATATGTCAGTATAGAATGGTGTGCTCACGTATTTATTGATATATGTGTATATAATATTCAGGTGTGCAGCAAAGCTTTCAAAGCCAAACGCAGTCTTCAATACCACCAGTATATGCACCACGGGATGGAGTCACAAAACACCAACATCGTACAGAAATATTCTGAGGCACGGAAGCGCAAACTTCAGCTGGAGAACATTAAGGGCACCTGGCCAACGAGCGCTGGCCTCCTCTCCTCCTCGCTCTACCTCAAAGGTGCTGGCGCTGTCCAGAGCGGTGCTTATCATGGTGCTAAGTTAGTGAAGTTGGATGAGGCGAGTGCTGAAAGTGGGTCCCAGGAGTCAGGGGACAGTTCTTCTATCCCACAAGGCCGTTTCCAACATGGTGGCAGAAATACACCCATGTCAGCTGACTCCAGCCCTCGACCAGAATCTCAGTTGGAGCAAGATGATGAGGTAAAAAGTTTGCTCTCACGTAAACTTACATGTCTTTATATACTGGCCTGCTTTTACACGCATAAATATAGTGTCATTTTCAATAACTATCATTGCATGGTGAATAGAATTATTTAAAAAGATTATGTATTTGGTTTGGTTATGAACAAATACAAATTGATGAATTTTAAGCATTTCACATACATTTAAACCTATCATTTAAAACATAATTGTTTGCAGGGTATCTCACAAGATGGCAGCATGGGTGGGACTGGTCAGGAGGATTCTCAAGATGGGCCATGGATCTCTCCTGATAGTCAAAGTCTCTCGCACAAACTCAGTCAGCATTTTGATGGCAAGTCCTCCTTCCTGGCCCACCGCACGTGTACATTTTGTGGCAAAGTTTGTCCCAAGCCAAGCGACCTGAAGCGCCACCTCATGGTACACACAGGAGAGAGACCTTTCAAATGTGCAGTAAGTGGGAGACAAGCAGTATGATTAAAGTTGTCTATCTTTACATGTAAAACAACAAAATAGATATTTATAGTTGTTGTAATTTATTTTCATTCATTTATATATTTTAATTTATTTTATTTTATTATTGTTATTTATTATTATTATTATTATTATTATTATTATTATTATTAATTTGCAATTATCTGGATGAAGTATTGCATAAACAAAATACATCTGTTCTATAATATTTGATATAGTGTATGGTGACCCAGTATATTGCACTTCTCCACTTATATGAAGTAATCTATCTCCTCAGGTCTGTGGAAAGGCATTCAAGGCCAAGGGCAGCATGTTATATCACATGAAAGCTCACCACAACATGGATGTCGAGCTGAGTCAGGGTCTTGAAGAGCGCTATTTGCGGCTGAAGGTTAAAGAACACTACAAACAAAAAGAACAAGAGTTGGTGAAGATGAGGATTGAAGAAATGGGCGGGGGAGGTGACTCTGTCTTGGTGAATGGCAATGGTGGGCTAGATTTGGGTCATGCATCAGCTGTGGTTGTAAATGAGGCCTTGATAAAACTGGACATTCCTACTCAGGATTCATCTTCTCCTGAATGTAGCCAAATGGGAGTGCCTCCTACAGGTCAAATGTTGGATGACATCGAAGAAAAAGGGGAGAATTCCAACCAAAGCATCAGCCAGACTGGGGAAACTCAGTCAAAAAGTCTGCAGAAAGAGGGAGCCACTACAAGTCAAGAGCAAGAGGAGACTGAGCCAGTGCCTGCCAAGAGCTATCAAGGCCCATCAGTGCTTCGAGGTCTCCGATTAAGAAATCCCCAGGCTTACAGGTCATATGGTGCCAGTAGCCAAACTAATGTTTATAATGTAAGCCAGCAAGAGGGGAAACCACTGAACCCATGGAGACGGAGAAAGAAACAACACCACGCTGCACCAACACAGAAAAACCTCATTCCCGTTACCAAGCCAAGTCCAGGGCGTAAAGGTCTTGTATTCCACAACATAAGTTTCCAGGATGAAAAACATGATAGTCAAGGACCAACAGTGGACAGCAATGCAAGGATAGGAAGTGGTCAAGTGATGCAGAAACATACAGAGGTCATGCTGCAGGATGAGGAGTCCTGGGATAGCTACAGCCAGGCACAGAAGGTCAAGAGCCTCAACATGAGCAAGCAAAACTTTGAAGTTATCGAGGAGACAATGGTTGTGAGCCGCCTCGATGGTTACGACACCACAACGGGACAGAGGATGGCCTTGTACAAGTGTCACCTCTGCAGCCAGGTCTACTCTGACCTTGGGAAGTTACAGATTCATCTTCCACTGCATTTTGACCAAGACCCTGCTTTGTATCGCTGCCAGGCCTGTGGTGCTAGTTTCACTTCACGTATGCAGTTTGTCTACCACTTGGAGTGGCACTTCAAGCATGACAACCCAGAATTT